TCGTCGATCCTCAAAGTGCAACTTAAATGGCAATATGATTCTCAAACAAAAAAGTTCCATTTAAAAACAAGATCCCGTTCTACATATTCACCTCACAATCGGAATATCATCAAATAAATAGAAAGTAACTAAAGGAAAAAACGCAGAGGGAAAAGGAGAGAAATCTGAGTTCTATAAAAGACCATGAAGTCAAAAATATAAGTTTCAAGGTATTGATCTTTCTGACAGCATCAGTTCAATTTTAAGTCTGTGCATGCAAATTAAGCTATCAGTATCTGACCTCAGCTGCCTCTGAAGTTGATGAAAGATACTGATAGTAATAATAGCGCAAGGCATCAGGCACGCGAGCTGGGCTGTCCGGCCAAACGTCCAAGTTCTGGTCTGTCACCTGAGATAAACAGATCATACGTAATATTTATGGAGCTGTTCTAAATACAATATCAGCACAGTCAATAGGTCATAAACTTCTGTTTTCTCCTTCTGGAGTTGGAGATAATTCAGACCCTAAACTTTGTTCTGGTGAGTAAATAGAAAAATTATCCCAAAACCTAAGGAATTTAAGAACTCTTATCCAAACACAAGACAGTGTCAGCAGCTTAGAAATTTTTCTTTCTGAATTGGAGAAAACATACAAAGCCAAATGCTATTTTTCAACAAAGTAGAGGTCAATTTCTTCTCTTTTCTTGAGATTTTGAAGTGTAGAAAAAAATTAATATTCATAAGAAACAAAATTCTATACAGCTTCACCATAACGAGTTACAAAAGCTAAATAGCTACAAAATTGGAAAATTACAATAAACTGAATAAGCTACTAAAAAGATCCTGTTAATTATAAGTTCTAAGTTATTTCTCATTTAAAAATTTTAAGGTGAAGTGGCAGTGAGCCACAGGCAAAACACCAAAGGCTAATCAAGGTTCCAAAATGGTGTTTGCGTCAATCGGGTCAAAACAAAGATAAGAACAGGATACAATAATTTTAGACAAGGGAGATCTCAGTAAGCACAAAAAGGTGTAAACATATAGACATAAGATTAAGATACCTCCTCATAAAATGTCATTGCGGTAAGTCTATAACCTGCTAGAAGAAGATATTCTTTAACTGCACAGTTTAAGTCTCGACGTTCATTGTTATTCAAAGGTCCTATATCAGTGAAGGAAAAATCTTTCTTTTTCCGTTGAATTTCTGGCCTGTTGTCTCCAAACTCATCTGCGTCCAGCTCTGCGAAATAATAGACAGCACAGGATATAGTTTGGTGAATTTGTTGCTACCATTCTGGCGAGCGATGAAATAACAAAAAAAACTAACTAATATGACTAATAAATGATGCTTGCATAAAGTATACTTATGCAGAAAACAGCTCCATGAAGAAAAATAAAAGAGAAAAGGAGATGGATAACGAATGAGAACTGAAAGCTAGATCAGCAACTATACTTATTGCACAAAAAAATCAAGATAAATTCAAGTTTCTGCACTTGAAACTAGACATCTGAAGCTGGAGCATTTTACTTAGGTAGACTCCCAAATTGGTCGATCTATTTCTACAACCCTAGTTACAGGCTTTATGGCATGAAGCATGAACTGATTGTTTATGTACACACGTGTATCTAAATAGAAGAATTACTATGAGAAGAGAGAGAGTAGAATAACTGTTTCAGTATAAAACTACCTCTTTCCTTGTCAACCGAACAATCAGATTTCTTCTGTCCTTCAGTTTTCAACCTTGCAATATCCTCCTGTGCTAGACGAAATTCATATTCACTGATAGCTAGCTTCTCCGATAACGCTTCTTTCTCCTCCAACAAACTTTGTGGGTCCGCAACTGCATTGCAGGGTAACAATTACTAGCTACCAACCATGTTGTTTAAGAAAGCCTGAAGCTAAACCAAAACAAAACTACATAAATGCAAATACTCATGATGCAACACAGGATAAGACATTGGATGTTCTTGGTCATAACATCACTCAACAAGCTGAACCATCACTCTTCAAAAATCCTTTAATTATATTTTTATACAGCTTCGACTATGGACAAGAACATTAAACTGCATGCAAAACAGAAACTTGACTTCACCCCGTTTATGCTTTGCACAATTTGGTAAACCTGTTCATGACCCAACCTTTACACTTTTAACTGCTTTCTGTATCGAGTAAGAGCAAAACAAGGGAGGTGATTTCTTCAGTTCACATTATACAACAGATCCTCAAAAAGATCCCTAAAACGTGACGCAGCTCAACCATACTGACAAGGACGATGTGACAATTTAAGTAACAAACAGAACAAAATAGCAATGTGAGGCGGATATTCACCAGCGAGTACACATTACAAACGCGAGGCGAAGAATTGGCGAACCTCGAATCGAATTATACCGAGAAATCTGATCGGGAGGGAAACGGGAAGGATCAGAGAAGAACTCCTTAAGACGAATAGCTTGGGCATCGCGGCCATCGTCGAGGAGCTCGTGAAGAAGCTCAAACGCCGTCAAGAGGTAGTTCTCCTCCATCAGGAAGTTCACAACAAAGTTGCACAACGACGATCGCTCCGCGTCCATAATTTGTTTCTTCTTCTTGCGCAGGAACCCTAAAACCCAATCAGAGGAAACACCTCCTTCGTTCCAATGTCACCGTGCATTCGGAAAGAGAATTCAAAAATTTCTCTCTCGATTTGATCTGATGCGGGATCGTTTTCGATTCGCCAGATCGTGTCGGTGTTCTCGCCGAGGAATCTCTCCGGAAGGGAGTGACGGTGGTAGGAATCAAGTGCAACGGTGTAGTGGTACATTAGCGTGGAACTAATTAAATCGGAGATTCCGATTGAGTAGATAGTGAGCTAAAAGAGACACATGGACGGTTCAGATCCCAAGATCCGATAGGCAAATTCGTCGTGTGTGCGTGCGTGCCTAGGCGATTTCATAGATGCTCGAGAAAAGTCAACGGCAGACGATTCCATTGGTTTTTTCTAGCGAAAATAATAAATTTAACTTGAAAAAGTGTTTAGTCTTTTTGTTTAATGCTGCTAAAAAAGAGAAGAAAAAGGCTAAATTACAACTATTGCGAATGTCAGAATTTTGCAAAACTTCATAATGTTTACGAGATATATCAAATTAATGAAGGAAAAATGTCATTAACTCAATAAGACTACGGGATGACACAATTGTTTAGCTAACTTAGCAAATTGAAGAGCAATAGATCAAACGATTTATATAATTATTCTACGGCTCACCAATAAATTCTTACCGGACCGAAAAAAGTAACCATGCATCTTACAAGTAGTTTTTACAGAAACAATATTTATAAATTGGTATCTGAAAAGATAAAAAACTTGTAAACTTAATAAATAAATAAAACATAAGATCATCATCATCATGTGATTGTGACGTATACGTAGTAGTTGTTCAGTGTTATAAAAAACAATATGATTTAATTCCTAACTTGATTCAGAAGACATTTATCATAAAACTGTAGTGATAAAATAAACACGAAGGTTTACAGCTTGATCACTTTAAACTTGAAGCGTTACCATACTTTATAGATCAGACGTTCAGAACCACTTACGATTTCAATAATTTAATTATTACTTTTATTTTTTTAAATAATTACTTTTAATTAAAAATATATAAAATTGAATTGTGTATCAAGAACAAAAGCTGTTCTTTCATCCCGTATGTCGATCATCTTGTGTGTCCGTTACTCCATTTATAGCCAAAGAGTATAGTTAAATTTTTTTAGTAAACTTTTAGACGTTGTAAATGATTGATGGAATTATAAAAATAACAATTTTTTTCAGTTTTTCAATCATATTTCAGGCTATAAATCCACCTAAAATCTACAGTTTAAATAGCCATATTTTTGTTTGTTCATATAAATATATTTTAAGTTTTTTTCTTACAACAAAAAAGACACAATGGAAAACATGCAGATCAAATCTAAGGTGATTAATTTACCGTTATATTCCAACTAATTATCTATTTAATCGTTTACTCTAACGTTTTTTCTCATGATATTTTACCAAAAAATAATATATATAACGGTTATACGTTACAAATCACAACAAACTTTCTTCAAAAAGTCACCAGTTACACCTAAAAAGAATACCAAAATTGTTATGATCATGTTGATAATCGCAATGAACATTTGTATTATCACATAACGTCCTATAACATGATATCGTATCTGAAAATAAATTTAAATAACTTTTCTTCATGGCTCGATTTTAAAGTGCAAGAGAAGAAATCTCGATAGTATTACTTGGTAGGTTCTTAAAATGACCGGTAATATAATATTAAACCGGCCAATAACGACGTTAAGTTATGGTATTTGGTGAGTTAGCATGTTTGATGTTTGATCATGTACTTTCCTAATATTCAATCAACCAATGGTACAAAAACCTAACTTTGCCTTACGACAGCTTGTCTTTCGAGCAACATCCTATATAGACCGTCGGTTACGCACTTTACTCGCTTACTTTGTATGGCAATAGTATTATCTTATTGCGAGTTGATCAGAGAATTAAGGAAAATTATACTATATCTTATATCTTATTGCGTTATTTCGCAATAACATTACATTTATTGTGAATAAAATTGTTAAGTTTTCGGTTTCGGCTATAAACGAGATAATGATTTATATCGACTATCTCTAGCTCGTAAAAATGAAAAAAATCACGGAGGTGTTCTTCAAATATTACGGAGGTTTGTAGTTAATTCATGTTGTTTAAATGTCTTTGTTTGTTCACAGAAAAATGGCTTTTCTTACGGGAGATATACATCAAAACATGGGGTTTAATTAATAAATCCGTCAAATAATTTTATAACAAACGAATTAAACAAGAGATAGATTAAAAAAAAGATAGGTTAAAGTTAAACAGTTGGCCATGGTTGCTTACGGAGTAGTACTATAATTAATCAAAGATTTGATTTATATAATCAATGAGAATACAGAACACTCCAACTCAAGTCAACTCTTCTTGTATATATATAAAGAGAGAGATATTCCTACTTGTAACGCACAAGCACAAGAGAGAAAAAAATATCAAAGACATCTGTTGCGGAGAGAGAGAGAGATAGAGAGAGAAAGTGAAGATGTCGATAGCTTTGCTTTTGACCTCGCCGGCGATGAAGCAGAAGCCGGCCGCGATAACTTCTCCTCACCATGGCTTGGGATCCTCTACTTCTCGTCCTCTTCGAGTTTCTTGTGTCGCCACGAACCCTGCTAGGTACAATTTCTTCGCCTTTTTTTTTGTGTTTTTTTAATACTTATTTTAGATCTTAAATTCCATTTTTCCCCCTTTTTTGTTTTGTTGTATATACATGAACACAAGAATATAACTCTTAAAGGGGTAACCTGAATATCATTATCGATTTCTTGTTTTCTATCATGTAATTATGCGGATCTATATCATTTCTTCAATTTCAAAACACAACATAACAAAAAAAAACTATTCTGCAGTTATCTTCTCTCAGTTGAGTTTGACGTTTTATTACATATCTTTGTAACTCATGATCGGAGGTCTTAATGTTTATTATATACATGAGCACAAACACTTAACGTTTAGTTAAAGTCATTATCGTTAATTTTAAATGGGACTAGAATAATGTTTAAAATACATTGGATTCCATGTATGTCGGCTAATCCCATTATTCGTATCATGATGTCAATTTTTTATTTTCTTTTGGTCCACCTGAAAACTTCTTTTTATATTGCAGAATCACTATACTTTATGTGTGTGTGTACATATGCATTGCTTGGTGTTTGGTTTCACACGAATCATGACATTAGGTGACCTTAAGACTATATATGGAGACAAAGTTTGATTGATTTTCTTATACACAATTTTTAGTGAATCATTTTATGATAAAATTTAAGAAATATTTTTTAGATCATTATGACAGATAACATTTAAATGGAAAATCGGTTAACTACCATTTCTACTTTAATAGTATTAGATGTTGTTTTCACCATTTTACCCACCATGCAAAATTATTTTATAGCTGGCATATTGAATTTCAATAAAATCGATTTTGTCGCAGTATAACCTTCATAAAGTCATTAGAAATCCCAATCTCCAATCTGGAAACAGTGACCCAACGTCTCCACGCTCCACATAAAGCAAACACGAATGGACCGATCATATAATCAAGGAAGTCCTTTTTTATATATGATAAATTTTCAGGCCACAATTAAATGGGATTATATACAAATGATTTTAATAAGATATTAGAACGAGGGACAGGAATTTGAGATTGTTTGAAATGCACACTACACCTATTAGGTTAACAATTAGCATTAATAACTTATATAGATGAATGTAATGGAGTTCGTGTCAAATTGCTTGTTGATAAATGATTACTTTTATATATTTATAGAGTTTTTCCTTTGATTGTACTATTTACCCTTTTATAGTTGTGTACTTCAAAAAGATATCGTAAATCTTTTTATCACGTACGAAGGACCCATTTCTGTTGGTAATTAATTTGATTTTTTTTTGTTTGGTTTTTGATTTTGAATAGGAATAAGAAGGAAACATATAAACAGTTTCGACCAATCAAAGAAGTAAATAACCAAATCACACACACAATACCACAAGAGAAGCTTGAGATCTTCAAATCAATGGAAGGTTGGGCAGAGAACAAACTATTACCTTATCTCAAACCGGTCGAAGAATCATGGCAACCACAAGACTTCTTACCGGCGCCGGAGAACGACGACGAGTTCTTCGAAAAAGTGAAAGAGATCAGAGATCGAACAAAGGAGATCCCCGACGATTACTTTGTGGTTCTTGTCGGAGATATGATAACGGAAGAAGCACTTCCAACGTATCAAACGACGTTAAACACACTTGACGGCGTTAAGGACGAAACCGGTGGGAGTTTATCGCCTTGGGCGGTTTGGATCCGAGCGTGGACGGCGGAGGAAAACCGTCACGGTGATTTGCTTAACAAATATCTCTACTTAAGTGGTCGTGTTGATATGCGACATGTTGAGAGGACTATACAATATCTCATTGGTTCTGGTATGGTAAGTAACATTCGATTTTTTTTTTTTTTTTAATTATATGTTTGGTTTTACTTTATTTTTTTTTTATATTGTTTTTTTTCAAAATTAATATGTAGGATTCGAAATTTGAGAACAATCCATACAATGGATTCATATACACATCGTTCCAAGAGCGAGCGACTTTCATCTCTCACGGGAACACGGCGAGGCTAGCCACGACCTACGGCGATGTAAACCTCGCGAAGATCTGCGGCACGATCGCCGCCGACGAGAAACGGCACGAGACGGCTTACACGAAGATCGTGGAGAAGCTATTCGAGATCGATCCCGACGGATCGGTTCAGGCGCTAGCGAGCATGATGAAGAAGCGAATCACGATGCCGGCTCATCTTATGCACGACGGGAGAGATAACGATCTTTTCGATCACTACGCCGCCGTGGCGCAGCGAATCGGAGTTTATACAGCGGCGGATTACGCTGGGATTCTCGAGTTTCTGCTGCGGCGGTGGAAGGTGGAGAGTTTGGGTTTGGGGTTGTCAGGGGAAGGAAGGAGAGCACAGGATTATCTGTGCACCTTGCCGCAGAGGATCAAGAGGTTAGAGGAAAGGGCCAACGTTAGGGTCAAACTTCGGTCAAAATCCTCTGTTTCGTTTAGCTGGGTTTTTGGTAGAGATGTGGAGCTATAGTCAGATCTTATAATAAACAGAAAAAATAACCCAAACAAATATATAAATAAATCATGTTTGTGACTTGGTAATTTGGTATAATGCGTGCGAGTAACAGAACTATCTATCAAAATTTTATTTTAAGTAGTAAAGTGACTGTATATTATTATGTACGTCGTTTATTCTGTTTTGCCGTCTGAGTAAAAAAAAAATTATTCATGTTTAACTTTAGTTGTGAATTTTGTAATAAACTCTATCAATTTTATTTTACGTTAGTAAAGTGACTGTATATTATGTACCTCGTTTATTCTGTTTTGCAGTCTGAGTAAATTTTTTTTATTCATGTTTTATTTTAGTTGTGAATTTTGTATTTTACTAATAATTAAGATGTCGGGCTCCAAATCGCCTACTGGATCATATAATAAGTTGGGCCTATTAAAAGTTATTCTTACATAATAACGACAAAAATTAATGGCATTGATGTAATAAAGCAACCTTACAGGGACATTTAGGAGAGTTAAACAAAGAAAAAAGAGTTTTTGCAATAAATGTCACCTGCTAAAATATCACATCACGTTGCAGAGTTTCTGAATTTGCTCGTTTGTTTCTTCAACTTTCCCGTCCTTTTGCTTTCTTCTTCCCTCCTTAAATTAAAATCACGTACAATTCACTCTGTTATCATCGAAAACTCCTAATCTCAGTTTTCGTTTTCTTCCTCAATCTTTTCTACATTGTTTTTCTTTTGATTTGTTAAGAAGGAACAAGGGAAAACAATGGCTACGGCTATGGATCGGATCGCTTTTTTCTCTTCCTCGTCCGTTCATCAACTTTCTTATCATTCTCGTTATCGTGGCTCCAGATCTTCCAGAGTTTTCATGGCTTCCGCTATCCGTCCCTCCTCTATGTGAGTTTCTCGCTTCATTTCTGTTTTTCCCAGAATTTTTTTTTGTTGATTTGATTTGTCTTCTTCTGGGGTTTAAGTTTGGGCAGCGAAAATCATGATCTATATCGGATTCTATATCCACGCTCTGTTTCTTTCAAATTTATATATTTTAGTTCGTTTTTGCGATTGCTAATGTAAAAATGGATTTTCATACATATATAAATGCTTGTGTGTTCTGCTCCCACGTATCTATGAACAGATAAACACACTTCAATTCTTAAAATCATTCATACATTTATCCTTTCCGTAAAATTTTCATTAGAATTTCTTTTCTGCTGCATTTGATTAGAGATATGGAAGTCTGTGTCTTTTCTTCTTTCCTCCACAAAATCAAACTGATCTTTCTTTCTCTCTTTTTCCTAATCTATCTTACAACTTAATCCTTCAAAAGTAAGATACTTTCCATATGCATGCATGGATTCTTCCGTTTTTTTAGTAACCTATAAAATATCATTTAATTTGGTTGTTGGCCAATCAGGCTACAATGTTCATCAATCCCTTCTTAATTTATTGCTAGTGTAAGTAAGGCTTTTAAATAATATCACATTCCACACCAAAAAAGGTAAAGACTTTTAATATTGTCTTTGCTTTGGTAGATGTGGTTTTCTCTATGTTTATACATATTCATACTGTCATACACCTATGTGTTTGTGTATATATGCACTGTAGATGGTCAAGTTTTTTTTGTTTGTTAAAGAAACAATTATATCCTGTAGTTGGTCAAGTTAGGTCTGAAATATTTCTCGTGTTGCTTGTTATTTTGTAGCTACTGTTTTGGTCAGAAGAATTGTGATTTAGAGCACGCTTGTCTTGTACTGCAATTTCCCCCATCGTTCTTATCATATATGGTGAACATTGAATCACGCATTAGTGTGTCTTTTTCCATTTTCTTGTTTTTGTTCTTTCAAGAACAGATTCTTCTCGTGTTGGGATCTCATTTTTGGAGGTGCCATAAATACTGTAACTTGTTTCTTATTCAAGATCATTGCCTAGCTTTCCTTAGTCGATTATGCGATGAATAATGCTGAATATCACCAATTCCTTTTGAGCATTTTGGAATCTTGTTTGATGGATTTGCAGAGAGGCTACGAATGGAAGGAAACCGTATATCCCTCCTCGAGAGGTGCATGTTCAAGTGAAATATTCAATGCCACCACAAAAGCTGGAGATCTTCAAGTCATTAGAAGGATGGGCTGATGAGAACTTGTTGCCTTACCTTAAACCTGTTGAGAAGTCGTGGCAGCCAACTGATTTCCTGCCTGAAGCTGAGTCAGAAGGATTCTTTGAGCAAGTGAAGGAGTTAAGAGAAAGGTGCAAGGAGCTTTCTGATGACTACTTCGTAGTGCTTGTTGGTGATATGATCACAGAGGAAGCACTTCCCACTTATCAGACCATGATTAATACCTTGGACGGTGTTAGGGATGAGACAGGAGCAAGTCCTACCCCTTGGGCGGTATGGACGAGGGCGTGGACTGCAGAAGAGAATAGGCATGGAGATCTTCTTAACAAGTATCTTTACTTGTCTGGAAGAGTAGACATGAAGCAGATTGAAAAGACAATTCAATACCTGATTGGTTCTGGAATGGTAAGCTCCTATAATACAAGTTCAGAAGATAAAAAGTTGAACAGAGTTATCTTAGCTAAGCCATTATGTGTACTTTTTTGTTGTATGCTGTGTTACCATACGTACTGATTGTTCTTTGTTTTGTTAGGATCCAAAAACTGAAAACAATCCTTACCTGGGTTTCATCTACACGTCTTTTCAAGAAAGAGCTACCTTCATCTCCCATGGAAACACTGCCAGGCTGGCAAAGGAGCTTGGGGACTCGAAACTCGCGCAGATTTGCGGCACCATTGCTGCTGATGAGAAGCGCCATGAAACTGCTTACACCAAGATTGTAGAAAAGCTCTTTGAGATTGATCCTGACACCACCATCGTGGGATTTGCTGACATGATGAAGAAAAAGATCTCGATGCCTGCCCATCTGATGTGCGATGGTCGTGATGATAATCTGTTTGAACACTTCTCGTCCGTGGCACAGAGGCTTGGTGTCTACACTGCCAGGGACTATGCTGATATACTGGAATTTCTTGTGAAGCGATGGAATGTGGAGAACTTGGCAGGCCTTTCTGGTCAGGGACACATGGCACAGGTAATTTCGAACCATGAAACCATTCTTCTTTTTCTCTCTTTTGGTTTTGCAGTATTTGACTCGAAATGAAACCTCCAAGTTCTATTGAGTTTTTCTTTTTGCAACTCTGTCTTCTTCTCGAGACATCAAAGAGGGATGCATAAAGAGAATTATTTCCTATCTTCAAAATCTATCCTTGCTAGATTGCATTATAACTTCTTTTTGTGCACTTGGAGATTGTTTAGTCAACAAGTTGGCTAATGGAGTCGGAAACTGACATTTGGCTTTCTTTAATTTCAACGAAACAGGACTATCTCTGTGGATTACCTGCTAGGATCCGAAAAATTGAAGAGAGGGCTCAAAGGAGAGGCAAAGAAGCTGCAAGAAACATACCTTTCAGCTGGATTTTCGGTCGAGAGATAAGGGCTTAAAGGAGATGCAATCTCTTTACCAACACCATGACTGAGGAGGTATTGGAACATGTGTAGATAAAGTATGTGTCTTGATCACCTTAAAATGAATTACTCCGAAGAATTTACTTTATTTTTTATTTATTTGTGGTTCTCTCTATTTGTTGTAGTTATTATTGTATCCCAGTTCTCTAATGTTTTTCCTCTCTCTCTATTCTAATAATTTGTAAACCCTTTCTACTTTCAGATTTGTTTCCTTTGTGTTTTACATAGAAAAAAGGACATGATGTTTTGAAATCTCAACTTTCCTCATAAATGATCGATTTCTCAGATTCGTTTGCTGTATTCAACACAAGTTCGAGTTTGTTTCTCGTCCAATTCGAATGTTTGTGTTCTAGAGATTGTCACAAAAATAAAGAGCAAGAACACATAGGAAACATACTAGATATATGTAGTAAATTATTGACAAATACATCAAACACTCAAGAAAGAAAAAAAATGAACAAATCACAACTCTCACCACAAAACAAAAAAAAAACACTCATTTTCAAACTTGAAACGGCCATGGCCAATCCTTAGGATTCTCCTCACTCTGTACTTTACCAGTCCTCTTCATCGCAACACCTCCACGGTTATCACCACCATCGACATAAGCATAGTACTTCATGAAGAAAGCCAACACAAGAACGACCCAATCAAGACAAAAGATCACAACACAAAGCCCACCACCGAGTTTCAAGATCACAGCAGCATCTTCCTCACGCACATACGATTTGAGGCTCCCGAGAAATTTCGATGTGTTGGTGAATATGAGAACAGAGACAGATCCTTGGAATATTGCAGTGAGCACAGTGGCTACCATGTGAGCAGCGTACCACCGGTTTCTCCCGCAGGAAGCGGCGGTGCAGCCTGAGACCGCGGCGGCGATCGTGGTGGCGTGGAGGAGGATGAGGAGGAATCCACAGATCGATGGGATTAGACGGAGAGAGAGTGTGAGGAAGATGCAGCTCGTGGCGGCACCGAGAAGGATGTAGTTGGAGAAAAGGAAGATCTTGTGGGTATGGTAATGAGATTCTTCTACTGATGGAGAAGATATCAAACCCATGATGATTTTGAGTAATTTTTTTTTTTTGGAAAGTTCGGATTTTGAGAAGAAGAAGAAGAAGAAGAGAGTGTGATTTGTGGATTTTGGATAAGCACAAGGAGTTTGTTTATGTAGAAGCGAAAAGAGAGACTCGAAACGGTCAAGTTTCTAAATATGACCGTTGGATCTCGAACGGCTAGTTTTTTTTTTGTTGTCTTCTTAATTTTTAATGGATTGATTTTAATCAGGTGGGCCCAATGGGCTGTTTATGGGTTCATGTTTATCCGAGACAAGGATAGGGGATTTCTCTGTATCCAAACAAGGTCAGGGTCTTCTACCGTCTTCCTGCTGATTCTTCCTTGTCTCTCGTATGCGTCACGCTTTTAGTCGGTTTTTTTCGTCTCTGTGTTCTTCGTGATTTTTGAAGGTTATAACAATGTCCGACTCCGATAATTTATCGACAGGTGAAAACCCTCTTCTTTCTCTAATTCAATTTTTCGCCTTATTATTTTATTTCGAGAGGTTCCTAGGGTTGGGAGGAGATTAATCAGAGATTGATCCTAGATGAAAATTTGTGTTCGTTTAGCTCAGATTAAATGTATTTTCCGGTTTATAATGTATGAAGATAGTTTGTTTAATGACATTTGGAAACTGAGATCAAACATAAGTTCACGTTAACAAATTAACCAGTAACCAGCTTATGAGGTAAACGAGTTGTCACATGAAAAAGTATGTGTTTCTCTTCTTTGTGTTGGTGTTTCACTGTGAATAACTCGGTTTGAATAATCACTGGAATGTTGGAAGTGTTATATGTACTCTATATTTGATCTGAAGGTGTCTTGGGATTTACTAATGCATTGTTTGTGATCATCTGTATTTTCTCAATTCTAGGGGAAAGTGTTGTTGATGGGCATACAGTTCCAGCTACTGATGTTGGTTGGTACATTCTCGGTGAAAACCAGCAAAACCTGGGCCCATATACTTTCTCTGAGCTATGTGGTAAGTGGAAGTCTTGCTATGTTTGAAATTTAGTTATGAAATGTCTTTTTCAAATTTCGATAACATGGTTTCAAGACAGTTACTAAGTGTTTACTTTGACTGGGCAGATCATTTCAGGAATGGTTACCTATCAGAAACTACCCTAGTTTGGGCTGACGGAAGAAGCGAATGGCAACCACTCTCTGCCATCCCCGAGTTAATGTCAAGGATTTCTAAAGCTGAGGCTGACAATACAGCTGGAGGTAGGATCCTTTTCACCATTACTAGGCAGTGAATTCTCGCATTTTTCTTGTATAGTTTCGTGGCACTTACTATCTGCTATCTGACTAGGTGCATCTGCGTTGATAAATGAATCTAATGCTGGAACCAAACAAGAGAAGCAAGATGATTCTGGTCAGTTATTTAGACAGAAAATGAATTCTCCAATGGTATGATTTGCAAACTGAGGGCGACACTTACCACGTTATGTTGTTTCTGCAGCCTCTACTAGAACTGAGCTTGAATTTGAGAAATGGCAGAAAGAGATTCAAGAAGCAGAAGCGAAGGCTGAAAGATTGAAAAATGGTTCTGTCTCTGGTAACTTGGGTACATGGGCTCCTCAGGTGAGGCTATTCCTTTCCACTGAATCAATCGTTTTTAAGTAATGAGTGGAATCGTTTACATTTGTCATCTTGCTTTGTGGGTCATGAGTCTCATGACTTTACCTTATCCGAAGAATTGCTCAATTACAGTGATTATCTCCCAAAATTTTATTTGCGTTTACCAAGATTGATTATCAGAAAATCTATGACGCCTACTGTATTATTTTCTCTTATTGCTCTTTTAACTGTTTAGGGGTTTTACTGTGGAGAACTTTCTAAAAGAGTAGGATAGTATTAATAGATCCCAAGTGCTTATGCTATTATTTGCAGGACGCTCCGGCGGGTAGCGTTGACCCGTATGGACTCGAAGAGATGACCTTTGCTACGGAAGATGAAGTATTTCCAACGATAAACATTCTTGATACTTCTGTTGACAAGGAAGATGCCGCTAAGGATGATGTGACTGGTAAGAATGAAGAAGATAGGTCTGATGAGATCGCCGAAATAAACAGTAACGGCAAGAGAAAGCTGGCAGAACAAGAAACTGAAAAGAAGGTTTTGTTTTTTTTTTCTTTCTTTTGTCTTCGTCTGTGTTTCGTTAATCATCTTTTCTCGTTCTTCATGTCATGCATGCTACTTCACGATTTCTCGCCAAATCATGTTTGTTCACACTCTTATTGACCGTGAGCTATGAGTGCTGGATTTCTTGATTGGAGAGTATTGATTTTTTCTTCAGCTGCTGAATTGTATAGGGTACATCGTAGAGGGAAAGAAAAATCAAATTGTTTCTGGTTCTTAGACATCGCACTTATATGAGTACCAGAATACTTTTTTTTTGTTTTCGTATTTACTATTAATGGTTGCTTACTACGTATTCCCTCATGGAAAATATCTGCAAGCATTTTGAAGTTTCAAATTTGTTTTCAGGAAGCAAACAAGCCTCCAGATTCGTGGTTTGAGTTAAAAGTAAACCCACATATTTATGTTACTGGGTTGCCCACGGATGTCACCCTCGAGGAAGTAAGTTGTGGCCATTGATTTTTCTATTATTATGGTTATACTAAAGCTTTATAATGGACTGATAGTGGGGACATCAATGACAGGTAGTTGAAGTTTTTTCTAAATGTGGCATAATTAAGGAGGTAACTCACTGTTTTGTGATCGTTTCTATGTTATTTTGGAGTCTTGTGTAAGTTTCCTCTAACAATGTAGATCTGATAAACATCGCAGGATGAGACTGGCAAGCCTCGCATAAAGCTTTACAGTGATAAGGCGACAGGAAACTTAAAGGGCGATGCTCTTATCACGTATATGAAGGTAATGATAATACTTGAAGTTCTTTCATCATGGGCTTTATAAGGTTTTGATTCTTAAACTTTGTCTCTGTTCTCTCTTCATGTGTATCTGTCTTTGTTTTCATTAGGAGCCCTCAGTGGATCTGGCAATTCAAATCTTAGACGGGGCTCCTTTACGTCCCGCTGACAAGCTCCTCATGTCAGTTTCTCGAGCTAAATTCGAGCAGAAAGGTGCATACTATTGCCATTAGTTGTATAACATCTTACTTGTCAGTTTCTTCATCCGTGGCTTTGTTTTCTACCACATTTTGGTTATGGTTCTTACTGGATTTCACTATTTTCACTTAGGGGAGAGATTTATAGCTAAGCAAACCGACAACAAGAAGAAAAAGAAGCTTAAAAGGGTCGAGCAAAAGTTGCTTGGATGGGGTAAGTTTTCACTTCTATGTTCTAGAAACATATCTTTATTTCTAGAAAGACATAAAATGAATGAAGATGTGAGGAGATACTAGAATTTCATTTTTCTTGCTAGAGAGAAATGTATAGATATTCTCTATGCTTCACTAGACAATTTACTGAACTCTTTAAAGTCTAAACATAACCAGTACTTAGCAAAAAGCCTGCACAAAAAGTCAATAATGACAGATGTCGTTATTTTCTTCTTCTTTCTGACGACTTGTGATGTCTATAAAGTGGTTATTAAGACATTTTTACTGTTCTGTTTTTAGCTCTGGGTGGCCATTGCGAAAGCATGAGACCAAAAGGGAGCATTTAGTTGTGTTGATATTTTCTATTTGTTTGTCTGGTCTTATTTCTGATCATTCCTAGTTGATTTTAGCACAAAGAAGTGGCCATTTTAGTTCTCGAAGTTGGATTTATCCTAGTGGATTCATATTAATTTCGATGGCGCTTGGTCTCTTTTATTGGCATAGGTGGTAGAGATGATGCTAAGGTCGCAATACCTGCAACGGTTGTTCTGCGCTTCATGTTCAGTCCAGCTGAGATGAGGGTAGGTTCTTGTCCACAATGTTAATAGCTTGAGAGATTTTTTTGGGTACTTGATATGAATGTATAGCTTGAGCGTTTTTACTCTGTTTGCAGGCTGATGAGAATCTGTGTGCCGAGGTGGAGGAAGACGTGAAAGAAGAGAGTGCGAAGCATGGACCGTTTGATTCAGTGAAGGTAATATGCTGTGTTATATTTTTCCTTAAAGCTTGTGGTTTCTAATGATGTCTTTGTTGAAAGTTGGGATTACTCCCGAGGTATCAATCAATTTTTTATACTTTTTGCAGGTCTGTGAGCAACATCCACAGGGTGTGGTTCTTATAAGATTCAAGGATCGGAAAGATGCACAGAAATGTGTAGATGCAATGCATGATCGATGGTACAGAGTCATTTCTGCTTAAAACCGCCATTAAAGTCGGGTCTCGAGTCTGATATGTTGCTTACGCGATTGTCGTTGTTGCTTATGGGTGAATGCAGGTATGCAAAGAGACAGGTACATGCGAGCCTTGACGATGGATTAGTGAACCACGCCGCTGTTCGAGATTTTGATTTGGAATCCGAACGGTTAGATCAGTTTGCGGCTGAACTCGAAGCTGAATAGAAAAGAGACGACTATTGTAAAATACCCGTAAAATACGCAATCTAGAGTTGAAAATTTGAAATATACTGTATTACTTAAGAATTTAAAGAATTTTGAAATTAAAGGATGACTATTCTTCTTTGCTATTTTTTTTTTGTCGTTTTTTTTTTGTCGTGACTATTCTATGCTATTTAACTTGTCACTTAAATGGAATTAAAAGTGTAACAATAATCACCTTAGTCATTAAAATCTCTCATAAAAATAAAATGAAATACTTTACCGCTGAATTAAAATGAAATATTTTAGTATTTTCTTAAGATTGTAAGATATTGTTTAATTCTCTTATGGTAAACTAAAATATATAGTTTTATTCATAGATTGTTTTGTTTCTTAATTTAAACTTTTATATTAGTTCAAATATAATTATAAATAAAATTAGTTCAAATATAATTATAAATTAATATAACATATGTTAAAATCTAATCGTTTATTTGATACATGATCTTAAGAGTTATTAACTTTAAAACAGTTTGTTTTATATAATAAGATATGTTCATTAAAAAAAATTAATTCATCCTTATCATGTAATAGGTTAAATCAATATTTACTAAATGAACTATTAAATTTTCATATAAATTATGAAACTATTATAAAAATAATTTAAATTTATTATGCAAAGTTGGTTTTTGTGTTGGAGCTATGGCAAAGGGAAATGAAGACCCTAAAATATCATGAAGAATATTCAAAATAATGAACAAATTTTGCACAAATAATTCATGTGTTTGCTGAAATTATTTTACGAATTAGTTTGTCCTTTGGAGTCAGAACAACAATTGGTGGGAGCAATATTTATCTTCGAGCCAAAAATACCAATTAGACTTTCCAAAAGCTCCGCACCTGTAATCCGATGACAGACGCAATCGTCACCTTTGGCATCCATCATCTCGACTGCCTTTACAAAGGTCACAAAAACTGGCTGTGAAACAAACAAAAAAACTAATGGTGAGAATTTTTCAGAGAAAACCAAATTATTTCAGAAGACAAAAAAAACCCTAATGGTGAGAATTTTCTTTACCTCAACCATAGCGATTTCTGCAATGGGTTTTTGGAGAGAGAGAGGAGAGGGTTTCTGCAATGGGTTTTTGGAAAGAGAAAGGAGAGAGTTTACCGTTAACCTAATAAATAAATACTAGCTTCCCGTTAATTAATGTTGATGTATTTAGCTTCCAGTTAATTAATCCATACGCTTGATGCTTACTTACATTACATACATAATTTCCATCTCATTTTGGTTATAATAGAATCATAAAGTTCATTGAAGCGAAATTTTAAAAAGAGCACCTGGACCCATCATTTAACAACAAAGAAAAAAAAATCTACTCCTATGAAATAGAACACGAACAAAATAAGAAATTCCTGAAGGAGTTTTAGACAAACTCAAGAAAAATAAATGCCAATAAATTAGGCAATGATGTTATCCTAGCAAGTTAGTTCCATATCGTTGCCAGCATGGTAAATATTGATTCAATTAAAAAAACTATACGACAAAACTGGTAACAACAAGGAAACTAGGGGCTAAAATCGAATTAACCAAGTTTTTGTTACTTTGTTTATTTCCTCATCTTCATCGCAATGTGACCTTCTCTCTCAGTTAGCTGTGTTTCATTACCTCAAAGGCTCAAACATCGAAATTCTCCCTAAAACCCTGACATTTTCCCGAACTTCGCAATCGCTGTTCCTCCTTCTCATTTCTTTCGAAAGGATCAAGCTTTTGATTCAAATCAGATCCTCTATACTAATCCCTTTTGGGTTTTTTTTGGCTAACCCAGACTAAATCACAGATGAGATATCAACAATGGCGATTGATGCTTCTTCGAAGCTACCGTCGGTCGCATCTTGCTTATCGTTCTCCTTGTTCTCAGTTTCAGGTTACCTCCATTGCGACCCGATCTTTCTCTTGTTTCCTTCACCTACCTTCTGGGATCGGAGCTCTGCAACAGAGCGAAGAGCTTCGTTGCTTAAAAACTCGAATGAGGAGCTCTGCAGAAATGTTGAAATCAGTGGGTCGAAGCTTCTCGTCCGAGCCTGTGATCGAAGAGAAACCTACTGCTGAGGGCATTTGATATCTTTAGCAGATTGAGTGGGGAAGACGAGCTCAGGAAAGAGTTGGAATTGAGTAATATCGTGATTAACCAAGACTCAGCTTTGAAGATTTTGAGAAAGCTGGAATCAAACCCCGATGTTGCGAGGAGGTTTTTCCAGTGGATTACAGAGGCTTTTCCTGGGGTACTTACCTCGTAAAACTACAACATGATGCTGCGTTTTGGGGGTCGGTTGATGCTATGAAGAAGAAAGGACATGGTTTATAGTCTAATGTTCGAGATAAAGTTGGTGAGAAATTTCAGAAAGATGGACCTGCGAGTGATTTGGTGAGGCTGAAAAAGCTTTTCCCTTTCGATTGTTTGGATAATTCGTCTGAGAGTGTTTGCGATAGGGTGTGTAAGATTGTGAAGGAGGAAGAATGGGGCGATGATGTGGAGAAACGGCTAAGAGATCTAAATGTTGAGGAGTTTCAAAGTGATTTAGTGAAGTTGATTGTGGAAAGTCTTGGTGTTGAACCCAGGAAAGCTTTGTTGTTCTTCCGTTGGATTGATGAGTCTGGTCTCTTTAAGCACGATGAGAAAACCTATAATGCTATTGCCAGGGTTTTGGGAATAGAGAACTTTCTAGATAGATTTCAGAACATTGTCATTGAAATGAAGAGTGCTGGTTACGAAGTGGAAATAGAGACTTATGTTAGAGTTTCTACGAGGTTCTGCCAGAGTAAATTGATCAAGGAAGCTGTTGATTTGTTTGAGACTGCAATGGCGTATAGCAGTAGTAACAAACCCACCCCACACTGCTTCTGTTTGTTGCTCAAGAAAATCGTCACTGCCAAGAATCTAGATATGGATTTGTTTTCAAGAGCTGTGGAAGCTTATACCATAAATGGTAAGGTGTTGACGGAGGCTATGCTGAAATCTGTCTTGAAGTCTTCAATTAGCGTGGATAGAGTTGCCCAGAGTAATGAAGTGTTGAAAGCAATGGAGAAAGGAGGATATCTTCCAAGTAGTGATCTGCAGAGCATGATCGCATCAGTGCTTAGTCGTAAGGGAAAGAAAGACGAAGCCGATGAACTTGTAGACTTTGTGGAAGCATCCGGAAATAACCTAGATGATAAGGCAATGGCTTCTCTTGTTGAAGGGTATTGTGATTCCGGGAAAATAGAGGAAGCTTTAGGGAGTTTCGATAAAATGGTTGGAAAAGCAGGAGGCTCATATGCTGATTATGCATTTGAGAAGTTGGCTCTTGCTTACTGCAACAAGAATCAGGCAAGAGATGCATGCAAGCTTTTGAGTGCGCAAGTAAAGCAAAATCAGCTGAAACCTCGTCATAGCACATACAAGCTCTTGGTGAGGAATCTGTTGACGAAAAAGATTGCAAGAGATGGTGGCTTTGAAGAAGCTTTGAGTCTTTTACCTTTAATGAAAGATCACGGATTCCCTCCTTACCTTGACCCTTTCATGAATTACTTCTCAAAAACTGGAACAAGCACCGAAGCTCTTGGTTTTCTGAAGGCTATGACCTCGAAGAATTTTCCATCTACCAAACTGGTTCTGAGAGTATTCGAAACTATGATGAAGTCTGCAAGGCACAGTGAAGCACAGGATTTACTCTCTACGTGCCCAAGCTATATCCGTAATCATTCAGATGTTCTAGAACTCTTCAATTCCATGAAACCTAATGAGTCTGCGGTAGAAAAACCTTTGGCTGGTTCTGCTTAGCTCCAGTTTTAGTTACATTCCTGCTAGTCTTTTGTTTCTCGGCATTACATTCAAATAAAAAATATTGCCAGAAAATTTTCCTGATGTTCCCTTTTGTTTACATTTCTCACCATTTACCAGTTGCAAATGTCTTCATCAACCTGGTGCACTGGAAAAATAATTTCAATGTACTCTGTTCTTTCATTTTTCAATTGCTCATCATCTTCTGCTTCTTGGCTCTGCCATGGAAACTCCATCTATTGTGATTCTGGGGAATTCGAGGAAGCTCTAGTGAGTTTCGATAAAATGGTTGGAAAAGTGGGAGTCTCCTATGCTGGTTATGCATTTTAGAAGTTGGCTCTTGCTTACTGCAACAAAAATCAGGCAAGAGATGCATACAAGCTTTTGAGCGCGCAGGTAAAGCAAAACCAGCTGAAACCTCGTCATAGCACATACAAGCTCTTGGTGAGGAATCTGTTGACGAAAAAGATTGCAAGAGATGGTGGCTTTGAAGAAGCTTTTGAGTCTTCTACCATTAATGAAAGATCACGGATTCCCTCCCCTTTCATGAATTACTTCTCAAAATCTGGAACAAGCACTGAAGCTCTTGGTTTTCTGAAGGCTATGACTTCGGAGATGGTCTTTATACGAAGTCATTTTTATTTTTTAGGATGATTTATAAAACATGAATTAACCTGTATATGACGTCATTTTTAGCAGAAAAGTTTGGTAAACATTTGATTGTAGATGTTATAAAAGGGTAGTTTAAAACTGTTGATTAAAAACTGAATAAGCTACTAAAAAGCTCCGGTTACTTATAAAGTTATTTCCTCATTTAAATAAAAAATTCAAGGTGGGGAGTGGCAGTGAGCCACAGGCAAAAACATAAAAGGCTAATCAAGGTTCCAAAATGGTGTTTGCGTCAATCGGGCCGAAACAAAGATAAGAACAAGATACAATAAGTTTAGACAAGGGAGATCTCAGTAAGCACAAAAAGGTGTAAACATGTTGACATAAGATTACGATACCTCCTCGTAAAATGTCATTGCGGTAAGTCTGTAACCTGCTAGAAGAAGATATTCTTTAACTGCACAGTTTAAGTCTCGACATTCATTGTTCTTCAAAGGTCCTATATCAGTGAAGGAAAAAATCTTTCTTTTTCCGTTGAATTTCTGGCCTGTTGTCTCCAAACTCATCTGCGAAATAATAGAAGTACAGGACATAGTTTGGTGAATTTGTTGCTACCATACTGGCGAGCGATGAAATAACAAAAAAAAAAAAATTAACTAATATGCCTTATAAATGATGCTTGCACTAAGTATACTTCTGCAGAAAACAGCTCCATAAAGAAAAATTAAAGAGAAAATGAGATTGAAAACGAATGAGAACTGAAAGCTAGAACAGCAACTATACTTATTGCACAAAAATTCTAGATAAATTCAAGTGTCTGCACTTATAACTAAGACATCTAAAGCTGGAGCATTTTACTTAGGTAGACTCCCAAACTGGTCGATCCATTTCTACAAACCTAGTTACAGGCTTTATGGCATGAAACATGAACTGATTGTTTATGTACACACGTTTATCTAAATAGAAGAATTACTATGAGAAGAGAGAGAGTAGAATAAATGTTTCGGTATAAAACTACCTTTTAAATTGTCAACCGAACAATCAGATTTCTTCTGTCCTTCAGTTTTCAACCTTGTAATATCCTCCTGTGCTAGACGAAATTCATATTCACTGATAGCTAGCTTCTCCGATAACGCTTCTTTCTCCTCCAACAAACTTTGTGGGTCCGCAACTGCATTGCAGGGTAACAATTACTAGCTACCAACCATGTTGTTCAAGAAAGCCTGAAGCTAAATCAAAACAAAACTACATAAATGCAAATACTCATAATCCAACACAGGATACGACATTGGATGTTCTTGGTCATAACATCACTCAACAAGCTGAACAATCACTCTTCAAAAATCCTTTAATTCTAATTGTTATACAGCTTCGACTATGTACAAGAACATTAAACTGCATGCAAAACAGAAACTTGACTCCACCCGTTTATTAACTCCTATGCTTTTCACAAATTGTAAGCATTCCTATGCTTTGCACAACTTGGTAAGCATGTTCATGACCCAACCTTTACACTTTTAACTGCTTTCTGTATCAAGTAAGAGCAAAACAAGGGAGCTGATTTCTTCACATTATACAACAGATCCTCAAAAAGATCCCTAAAACGTGACGCAGCTCAACCATACTGACAATGACGATGTGACATTTTAAGTAACAAACAGAACAAAATTAGCAATGTGAGGCGGATATTCACCAGCGAGTACACATTACAAACGCGAGGCGAAGAATTGGCGAACCTCGAATCGAATTATACCGAGAAATCTGATCGGGAGGGAAACGGGAAGGATCAGAGAAGAACTCCTTAAGACGAATAGCTTGGGCATCGCGGCCATCGTCGAGGAGCTCGTGAAGAAGCTCAAACGCCGTCAAGAGGTAGTTCTCCTCCATCAGGAAGTTCACAACAAAGTTGCACAACGACGATCGCTCCGCGTCCATATTTCGTTTCTTCTTCTTGCGCAGGAACCCTAAAACGAGCCAATCAGAGGAAACCCCTCCTTCGTTCCAATGTCACCGTGCATTCGGAAAGAGAATTCGGAAAGAGAATTCAAAATTTTTCTCTCGATTAGATCTGATGCGGGATCGGTTTCGATTCACCAGATCGTGTCGGTGTTCTCGCCGAGGAATCGAGAATCTCTCCGGAAGGGAGTGACGGTGGTAGCAATCAAGTGCAACGGTGTAGTGGTACCTACCGTGGAATTAATTGAATCGGAGATTCCGATTGAGTAGATAGTGAGCTCAAAGAGACACATGGACGGTTCAGATCCCAATATCGGATCGCCAAATTCGTTGTGCGTGCGTGCGTGGCGTGCCTAGGCGATTTCATAAACGATCGAGAAAATTCAACGGCAGACGATTTCGTTGGTTTTTCTAGCGAAAATAATGTAAATTTTAAGGGGATTTGAAAAAGTGTTTAGTCTTTTTGTTTAATGTTGCTAAAAAAAAAGAGAAGAAAAGGCTAAATTACAACAACTGCGAATGTCGAAATTTTGGAAAACTTCATAATGTTTACCTGATATGTCAAATTAATGAAGGAAAAAATGTCATTAGCTCAGATGAATAACTTATATAGATGAATATAATGGGGTTCGTGTCAAATTTCTTGTTAATAAATAGAGTTTTTCCTTTGATTGTACTATTTACCCTTTTGTAGTTGTGTATTTTAGAAAGATATCGGAAATCTTTTTATCACGTACAAAGGACCCATTTCTGTTGGTAACTAATTTGATTTTTTTTGTTTGAATAGGAATAAGAAGGAAACATATAAACAGTTCCGACCAATCAAAGAAGTAAATAACCAAAAGAGAAGCTTGAGATCTTCAAATCAATGGAGGGTTGGGCAGAGAACAAACTATTACCTTATCTCAAAGCGGTCGAAGATTCATGGCAACCACAAGACTTCTGGCCGGCGCCGGAGAACGAAGACGAGTTCTTCGACCAAGTGAAAAAGATTTCGTCGCTAAAAAATTGTATGCAAAACGTGAACGTACAGAGATTCACAAACAAGCAAGAAAAGTTAAAAAAATCTCAAAAGCCTCAAGTTAATCAGGTTACTCAATACTAAAGCCTCAAATCAGAAATCGGAAGTGGTCGGAATCTGATAAGCAAAGCACGAGAATCAAAATCAGAAGCTGAATATGAATGATGCACAAGAGGATGCTTGTAATGGGCAACACCCAATTGACAAAATTCTTAAACAAACAGCTTGTTTTTGCAGATTTGTTTCCGGTGTCAAGCCAAGCGAAGACTCAACTTTGATCCAATTTAAAGCACTGCTCCAATTTGTAATTCCTGGGAACGAGACGACTCAGATGAGATTTACATTATTTCCGATTTCCCCACTCTCGACACGAAAATCCATTAGGAAGACCTTTTATTAAGTATAGGCTATTTGTCCTACATCGATAAAACAAAACGTCTCTTTGTTATATAAAGTAGTGAAGTTTACGTTAATTGAACGTCGAGTTCAGTAACGCGGGCTTGTGAACCGGGTTCAGATCGGGGTTCAATCTGGCCAGCCCATTTCAAGTTGGGAGGTAAGGGATGGGAATTGAGCGAAGGCTTTTTATGAGCGGAGGATCAAATTAAACCATCACTTTTTGATTTTTAATTTTGTTGGAGTTGCTTTTTAGTTTGTAAATAAATCCAAAATTTTGGCATTAGACTTATTTCTTTGAATGATTTATCATATAAAGATAATAATTGTGCCACCTCGTTGATGACTTATTCCCCTTATTTTTATGCAATTTCTGATTAAATGTATTTTTCTTAAAATCTCATAATGATTTCACAATATAAATTTATCTGAAATGCAAAGTTTGTATACACCCATCAAATTACAATTTAATACTGAGTTTTGTATTAGTCTACCACACAACCTCATCAAAATGAAGATCCTGAAATATCATAAAGAATGTTCAAAATAATAAACTAATTTCGCCCAAATAATTCATGAGCTTTTTGAAATTCTCTTAAGAATTAGTTTGTCCTCTGGAATCAGAAAAACAACTGACGCAAGCAAAATTCTAGTCATAATAATAGGCTACGCTCATGGTTTACTTTGTTTTCTTTGTCATGCAGCCATTAAACGAACTCCCTGTGCCAGGAATTCAGATACAACAAATGCCAAAGGTGGTTAGTTATATATCTCATGTATATGTAAAAGATACTATTACATATATGTCCTAACATGCATTTGTTTCATTTGTCGTGAGGCTACTAGACATGTTCGCATGATCTATGTTTGTGGCTTTCCTACCTCAACAAGTACTGAACAAACTCCTGATGTGCTCATTTGATATAGTGAGCTTCATTTCCACGACTGCTGAAGACTCTGATTGGTATCAGCCAAACATCTATCTGGAATCAGTCAAACTTACCACAATGTTATTGCATGGGTGGTGGCGAACGCCTTTTTTATGACAACATTTTTTTGGTATGTACTTCATATCATTTTTCTATGAACATATAAATGGTGAGGAGGAAGTCAGTTTTAGTGACTTACAATTCATGCATTAACTTAACATGAGTAGTACGAAAAAAAAAAAAATCTCTACTTTATGATCTAAAAATATTACTTTAGTTTTTTCTTTAATATAATATGTTGTTGAATTCTTTTATCGTAAACGGAAATTAGATAATCGAAACGGCTTTAAGAGTGAACAAATGTCGATTCACTGATTGATTCTCCGCCCCTGGATATTCTCCGACGGTCAGATGAGATCCGGTGGGAAAATTCAGTCAAGAAGAAGTGGACCGAGATTGTGCAGCCAACTAAACCGAACCGAAATAGAATGTCAAAAAGAAATTGAAATCTCAATAAACCGAAAACCATTCTTTGCTTGCCGCTGAAGTAAGGCCGGTTTTATTTTGTTTTTCTAATTTATTTCCTTTTTCATGGTATTGGCCCGATAATAAAAATAATAAATGATTAGTGGATCGTTTTCATTCTTCCTTCCGTCGCAAAAGCAAACCCTAAATCGCTTGCTCTCGAAATCAAAAAATCTGTTTCAGTGTTTGAAGCAAATTTAAATAATAAGAGTACGAGTTCTTTTGGGTCTAGGTCAAAGGTTCGTGGATCAGTTTTTCAAATTTCAAGTGTAGGGACTGTGAATTTCTCGTATAGTAAGTTTATGACTTTTCCAGTCTTTTTATTTTTTTAAATTAAGAATTGTGCTTTTGATGGTTTTTGACTGTGATGTTGTTTCCTTGCAGCGCAAGGATGGCACATATCGTGAGTTAACAACACAATGGCTGTAAAATGGGTAATCAAATGGCATTGTTCTCCTTTCGTTCCCCAGGCTAGAATGCTTTTTAGTAACGATTTTATTATATAAGATTTCAGTGAATCTGATTGTTTTTAATAATGGATATTTCTAAAGTATTTTAAAAACTATTATTTTCACTCAATGTGTTTTTTCTGCGGTTTCGGACTGCAAACCGGCGAACCAGCGCTGACCGGACCCATGAAACCCGACTTCTGCAAGGGTGTGGACTGCAAGACCCACTTTTTTGGACAATTTGTTTTGAGCCCAAGCCTTCCTGGATTGTAATTGGGCCGAGCCTGCGGGTCAAACCCATTTGACATGTCTATAATAAATGATCTCCCGAGTGGATCGTTATCATTTTACCTTCAGTCTTGAGAGAGAACCCCCCAAAAAAAAAAAAAAAAGGAAAAGAGAGGGAGCAAAAGCAAACCCTAAATCGCTTGCTCTCGAAATCAGAAAATCTGTTGTTTCAGTGTTTGAAGCAAAGGTAAATAATAACAGTACGGGTTCTTTAGAGTCTAGGTCAATGGTTCGTGGATCAATTGTTCAAATATCAAGTGTACGGGTTCTTTAGAGTCTAGGAATTCACTCGTATAGTAACTGTGGTTGATCGGTCTTGAATTTGTTGATTAGGGACTTTTATGTGCAGGCTAGGGTTTAATTAGGGTTTCATAGATTGTTCAATTCAAACTTGTTATGAATTTTCCTGTCTTTTGATTTATTTATTAAGAATTGTGTTTTTGGTTTTTGTCGGTGATGTTGTTTCTTTGCAAGGATGGCACATAGCTTGAGTCAACAACACGAAGGCTGTGAAAAAGGTAATTAATGCCCTGTTCTCCTTTCGTTCCCAGGCTAATGCCTTTTAGTGCACACACACTCACTAACGATTTTTTTATTGTTTCTCTAGGGGAACCTTCTTACGATGGCTTGGATGATGATACAGCTTACTGCTATGGGCTAAATTGTTTTAAATTGCGTAGGTTAGTTCATCATCGTTGATATTTCTTCACCTTTGTCTCCCTTGGAATATCTAAATCTCATTTTTTGGAATATCTATCTCACGTGCAGGCTTCCAGCTCCAAGACCTGGAGAGCTCCTAGCATTGGTTGGAATTCACCGCACCGGCAAAACAACTGCTCTTAAAGTTTTGGCTGGGCTACTCAAACCGAATCTTGGCCGCTTCAATGTAAAGTTCCTCTCTCTCTCTCTCGCTCTCAAGTTTCTCTTTATCCATGGAATCTTGTTTGCTTCATGTTTGAGTATTCTTCTTCCTCTTGGGGCAGGCTCCTCCGGAGTGGCCAGATATTTTGTCTCACTGTGATGATCGAGATCTTAAAAACTACTTTACCCACTTTATTGAAAAAAAACCAAAGGTGGCTTTTAAGGCACAACATTTCGATGACCTAAGAGTCTCTGATCTTGATGTCGGGAAGATGCTTGTTGACCAGAGAGGTATGATGAAGGAGGTATGTGATGCTCTAGGCTTGACCAAGTACAGAGAGTTGAACAGGGATCAGAGGCTCGACAGTTTATCTGATGGAATGCTGCAAAGGGTTTCTATCGCTGCCACTGCCTTGCAGAAAGCGGATATATACATATTCGACGAGCCATCAAATTTCCTCGATGTGACTCAGAGATTCAAGGCTGCACAAGTTATACGTTCTCTCATAAACCCCGACACCTACGTGATTGTTGTGGATAACGACCTTAGTTTCATTGACTATATCTCGGATGAGATTCACTGTTTGTATGGGGAACCAGGAAAATACGGCGTCTTTACTCGTCTGGCCTACAATGTCAGTGCAGGAATCGAAATTTACTTGGATGGGTTTGACACCCGAGAAAACCAGCCTCTAAGGCGTGGTAAATCTCTCATCTTTAAGCCTGGTAAGATGTCCGCAGATGGCGGCAGTTTCGAGCCACCCTGTTATCCCGACTTGACTTTAACTCGTGAGAGCTTTAAGCTGCAAGTGGCAGGAGCGGAATTGAAAGACGCTCAGATATATCTAGTTCTTGGAGCCAACGGTACAAAGAAGACCACCTTCATCCGACTGCTGGTAAGACGCTCATATACCAATATGCCTTCTTTCATCGTTTATATATATATAATAATAATAATTCGATCTCTCTGGACTACTCTCTCTGTAGGCCGGTACGTTTCGGCCTCTAGCTGTAGAGTCACAAGGTGGAAAACTGTGGAGGTCTATGTTTATGAAGTCATACAAACCGCAAAACCTTAACACGGAGTCTACAAGAATAGTCAGACAAGTGCTAAGCCCGTTTCCTATCGATGGTATGCATCCTCAGTTTAAAGAGGATGTGCTAGAAGCGCTTCAGATTATGCCGCTGTTGGATCGCCAAGTGGGCTCACTCTCGCCTGGAGAGATGCAGAAGCTTGCCATAGCTTGCTGCCTGGCTACGGTTAGTCATTGTTTTGTTTTACCGCATGAAAAAAAAAAAATGGATGGATGCTGTGTATTTTGTGGACTCATATATCTCATTTTGTTATTTTATCTCGTATGGAAAGGAAAGAAAAATCACAACCATCAATTATTCCCTTTTACAGCCCGCGGATGTGCACCTGTTCGATGAGCCAAGTGAACACCTGGACTCGGATGAGCGAATCATCGCTGCAATGGCCATAAGGCGGCACGTTTCACGCACGTTGAGAGCTGCGGTTATTGTGGAGCATGATTTTATGATGGCAACTTATTTGGCAGACCAAGTCATTTTGGTTGAAGAAAGGCAGACCAAGCCATCAACAACCGAGTCTGTTACTCCTAATTCCTCAACAACCGAGTTTGCTGTTTCTTCTCCATACCCATTTGTCGAAGGGATGAACAAGTTCTTGTCGGTAAGTCTCACTTTATTTATTATGCTTTTACGAATCCTCCTCAACGAAACAATCAAAAATAAACATATGTTTTGCCTCCTCTTTGCAGCATCAGAATGTCACATTCCGACGGGATCCGCTCAGCTTCCAGTTCGTACCAAGGGCCAACAAATTAGGATCGTTCGAGGATTGGGATCAAAAGCGTAAAGGCAATTACTATGTCCCGAACTGGAGGGTCAGTGCACAGGATGTGTTGAACGCTAGACAGCATTAGAGGAGGTTTATCCCCAGACAGACAACACTCCTTGGGTCTGTCTCTTTGTTAATTTATGGCGTCTTTTTCTGACTCTTTCTAAGTGTCTTGTGTTGCTTTACCTTTTCGGACTCTTTCTAAGTGTCTTGTGTTGCTTTACCTACGTTTATGGTGTCTTTGTCAATTTAGGGTGTCTTTTCTGACTCTTTCTTTCTAAGTGTCTTCTGTTACGCATCATAAAATACGGTAGAACGATATGTCATTCCTTATTACATATGGCTAAGCTTTCCAGTTCAGTTTTCTGCCAACTCGATTGAACGAACATTCATTGATTGCGTTAGTCTTACTGACCTGTAACCCCGTAGCTTGAGGCTTATTGACTCAATTCACAAAAATTTTACATTCTGCTTGCAATCATACCCCATCAAATTTTCTTTGCTGCAATGTCAACTCTGTTTCACAGTGATGTTTCTGAGACCTCCCAAAAACAAATGACACGAGTTATGCTTGTGTAATTACAGCGAGATAAGGTCTGTAAACCATGAGATCTCGATCTAACCATTAGACTAAACCAACCCTTGACTAGACCAATTGACATAACTAATCAGTTTTAAGCTCCAATCATATTGATCTTCGTCAATAAAGAGTGTCACTCATTCCCTCATCGGTTGATACTTGATAGTCATATTAAATTACTTTAGTGAAAATTATATAAGTATGGAGTCTAGAATAAATTTTCTGAATCTAATAATTTCCATAGTCCAATAGTTTTGGGCCTTTTGGCCTGAATATCATAATTTCTTACAAGATTGTTTATCCCTTATCAAACATCTTTAACGTTTTTTGTACTTGTAATTAAAAAGTTTCGAAAATTTTCATATTTCCCGCAACGAGGCAAAATAAGCCGCCCAGCTTAAATGTTTTGAAAAAAGGAAAATACTTTCAATTAAAAAGTTAATTAAATACTGTTGGGCTGGTTGACAAAAAGTCAAAAACGAAATTGTTCGGACTAAAGCTCTGTGGGACCCTCTGTTGTCCTAACCAATAGGAGCACGACGTATGCCACAAAAACTCGTGTTCCTTTGCCACACCAAATCCCTCATTTTAATCAGAAATACAACCAAAGATCCAAATTTCCAAACTTTTTTTTTGCATATTGCAATTCCTCTCTCTTCCACAAATTTTACTCACGTTTTTGTTTGGGTCGAGTTCGCTGTTGTTGTGTCTGATCTCTAACAACAAAGAGTTATTGTCTGAAGATTCTGCTTCCCCGAATTGGGTGTTCTTTTGAAGTTTCTGCTAAATTAGGGTTTCCACGAGGACGAGGACTCTGTTCAATTAGGCTGTTGGAGTAGTTAAGCTCGGATTGGTGAAATCTGCGGTAATTGATCTACCCTTTGCTCTGTATTCTACTTTCGAAGCTCGTCAAGTAGTTTAGGAGCGTCGGGAGTCTCTTCTCCGTGGCAATTTCGAGACTTTGCTGTCCGTTTAAGCTAATTTGGGTTCTGTTATCGGAATTTGGAAACTTCTGCTTTTTTTTTTTTCCATATTCTGATGAAAGATCTCTTCTTCTGCTTCTGGGTCGGAAAGGGATTTAGTTGCCTGATAAGTTGTTGAAGCTCAAATTTTATTGCTCTGCTTTGAAATTCTGACAAGTTGGTTCCTTTTTTGTTGAAATTTTAGGGTTTCTTATCTGGTGTCGAGGACGAGGAATGTTTTATTCGCAGTTTATATTAGCTAAGAAAGGGCCACTTGGGACAATATGGATTGCGGCCCATTTGGAGAGGAAGCTTCGAAAGAATCAGGTGGCTGATACTGATATTGGAGTCTCCGTTGGTGAGTCTTTGCTAATTGTGCTCAGCCTCAGTACTTAGCAGTCAAATTTATCTCTCTCGATTAGCTTTATGTCTGGCAGTTGTCAATTTACTTTTGTTTTTATGTTTGAGATCTATAATGTCCGATGCTCCACTACTGGATCACTGTTATCTTCACTTTACCATATATACGGTTATAGGAGTAGGCATTGATAGTCAAGTCTGCTGTGACAAAGTGTTTTTGTTTAGCTTTACCTTATAAGGCCAGGGGAAAGACCGTAACTTTAAATTTAGAAATCTATTAGAGGAACTGTTTTTTCTTTTTTAAAGTACTGAGGAGAACAAAATTAGGGTCTGAGCATGGTATCGTATGTTTACACTTACGTGTCCACCTTTTGTCAGAATTGAATGTTGGGACATTGTGTATTACTCTTGATCTCTGTGGCAAATATTGTTTTTGGTTGGCAAATTTCTTGATCAACATCATTGAATTATATGCAAATCTTCATTTTGTATGCGGCAATTTATTAAGTCTACAAGTCTTTTCTATATTAATTGGAGTTCTTCTTATAACCTTAAACTGAAGTAAATAATCTTCTATATATGTCTACAAATGATGTCATATGCATTTCGACAGCTTAGATTTCTTTTTTTTGTTGATCCCAGCCATTTAAGGCTAAGTCAGTTCCATGCCATGCTGTTGTCTTCTCTTTACCCTACTAACTACCTTCAAAATATTTCTCGTCTGAGCAGATTCTATTCTCTTTCCGGAAGCTCCAATCGCATTGAGATTGTCTAGTCATCTTCTGCTTGGCGTGGTGCGTATATATTCAAGAAAGGTGAATTACCTCTTTGATGATTGCAGCGAGGCATTGCTTAAGGTAAAACAAGCTTTTCGCTCTGCTGCGGTTGACCTACCCCCTGAAGAATCCACAGCGCCATATCACTCAATTACGTTGCCAGAGACATTTGATCTTGATGATTTTGAGCTTCCAGACAATGAGATCTTTCAGGGGTTAGTTTCTTGATGTTTTACTATTCACACTAGTTGTTTTCCTTATTTAATTATGCTATGGTTTTTAGAGTCTTGAAGAATGAGCTCCGTTTTGTTTTGTTTTCCTCCAGCGCTCTAAACGATTGTGCATTATATATCATACTCTTATTTTTAGAAGCTTTATTTAGCCAGTGCTCCTTGTTTTCTTGCCTAGCAGTAATTACGTTGATCATCATGTGAGTACAAGAGAGCAGATCACCCTTCAGGATACCATGGATGGTGTTGTATTCTCAACATCGCAATTTGGATTAGATGGTCAGTGGTTGTTTAATGCTTACTTGTCTTTAATTTATCGATAGCCTGTGCCTTAAATAAGAAAATTATGTTTGATATCTTTCCAGAGCGATTTGGTGATGGCGACACTTCTCAAGCTGCTTTGGAGCTTGACGAGGTAATTTCGTGTTCATGAAACAAGAAAAATAGAAAGAGGATAATCATATTGACTATGAAAATATGAAGAGAATCGTTTGGTTTATTTGTAGATTTCATTTGCTTCTAGCTTTTGTTTTCTTTTCTCTCCACGCTTTGGTTAGACCGTGAAAAGCTTGTAATCTGAAGTGTCGGATCGCAGCCATGTTGTAGAGTCAGGATGATTTGGATGTTTACTTTTTCTAGTGAAGCTTTGCAGATTTGAAAGCAGAATTTCTTCTCTCTTATTATTTTATTTTGGTTATGATCTTTCCTCATCCCTGTATTATGCAGGAAGTATTCCAGGATAAGGATGCTAGAGGATCCGTTGATGAGGGAGTCCAAGGGTCAGTTTTTGTTCATTATCTTTGCTATACATTTTGTTGCATTATTGCATATTTGCTTCCCGATGGTTCCTCTTGATTTTATTATCAAAGTTGTAGGTTGATCTTCATTGCGATAGCTGTGCAATACGGCTGCTTGTTATCATAAATTTTAAATGCTTCACATGAGTTTTAGAACAGGGGAAAACTTGAGTTGACTGAATGATAAAGAACCCGTGCTTTTAGGCGCTTGAATATGTGTTTCCAAGCTATGTGATCATGCTTTTTGAATTCCATGATATCCATAATTTGACTTTTGTTTATTTTGAGAGCGCATTGTAAAGTGGAACTCTTTGCTCTGTATTCTACTTTCGAAGCTCGTCAAGTAGTTTAGGAGCGTCTAGAGTCTCTTCTCCGTGGCAATTTCGAGACTTTGCTGTCCGTTTAAGCTTTTATTATCAAAGTTGTAGGTTGATCTTCATTGCGATAGCTGTGCAATACGGCTGCTTGTTATCATAAATTTTAAATGCTTCACATGAGTTTTAGAACAGGGGAAAACTCGAGTTGACTGATTGATAAAGAACCCGAGCGTTTAAGCGCTTGAATGTGTGTTTCCAAGTTTTTTGAATTCCATGATATCCATGACTTGATTTTTGTTTATTTTGAGGGCGCATTGTAAAGTGAAACTGCACTTCTGTGTGTCTTATCCTTCTTGGATGTGGTCCTTTGGTGCATAATTTGGATGTGCACATCACCAATCAATTTTTTTACTTATGGTAGATATTTTATTTGTTGATAGTACTGATCACAATGCATATCTGGATGCGGCAACACCGGAGATCAAGGATGAAATGATAGGAGTTTCCGAAGCCTTGCCCAGAGATGTCAATGAAGACCAGGTGCGTACCATCAGAAATATAAGGAACGAGGGCATTAATAATAGTCGCGGAACAATTGTCATCTGAGTCAATATGCTTTATTTTATATATTTTCGTGTCGTTGATTGTACTTTGCAATCACACCACCAAGTTTGCAATTTGTATTTCTAGACTTATTGGTTTGATTTTCTGGTAAGACTATTGGAATTTATTATTATCTTTAATTCTTATGAACTCTCTCTTTCATAGGTTGAAGGTAGTGGTATGAGTAATGAGTTCATTGAAGATGCCCAAGCTCCTCAGACCCCTGGATTAGTTGAGGTGCCAAACTCGTCTAGTGTCAGAGAGCAGCTGGCATGCGATGATCACATGGAGGTAGAGGATCTGAATGCTGCAGAAGGTAAGAAAGCCTCTGGAGAGGTGGCTGCTAATGAGATGCATAAACGTGATGAAGAGTTGTCTTCTGAGTGTAATGCCGGAGAATCGGCAGTTATTCCCATGGAGGTCGATAAGTCGCTGATAGATGGAAATGTTAATGCGCAAAATGAGCCAGAGGAGGAGAGGGCAGAGCACGTACATGTTACATCGCCATGTTGTTCTCATATCACCACCGAGATGGAGGATCCTGGTCAAGTAACGACTGAGGCTGGGACCAATGTTAATAATGTAGTAGCTGATAAGTCAGATGATGTTCCTCCAGTTGAGTCCCCTGGAGGGCCTACGATGAGTAATACTGAGCATTGTTTATCCCAGGAACCAAAAGATCCTGGAGAAGAGAACCAAGGTTTGTCAAATAAAATGCTAATCAGTAGAGTTATGTATGTAATATAATGCAAAGTCTTATTGCCTGCCTTATTCTTATATTTTTTATTGCTTCCCTTCAGATCATTTTGCCATTGCCACTGAGGTCAATCAGGAAACAGATTCCAGTTTACAAGGAGATCGGGAAGCGTACTGTAGACCAGATGCGCAGCTGAATAATGCACACGCAACTGATGATGAACAGTTGGGAAATCTGACTGGATCTACTGACTCTGCTTTGCCTGCACCTGAGAAGGTATTAACTGCACCTAACAGACTGGGGGATGAAAATGGTTTCATGGTTGAATCTACGCCAGATAAAGAAGATCCTGGCACGTGTAACGATGATGCAGGAAATAATAACATTACTGGGAAGAAACGCACTTTTACTGAGAGCACTCTAACTGCAGAAAGTTTGAACTCTGTTGAGTCAGTTGGACTGATTAAGTCGAAGAGAACTGCAGATTCTGTTCCTGATGACGATGACTTGTTGTCTTCCATCTTAGGTATCAAGTTTTTCTGTTGCTTTGTCTGTTCTTTTATACATTTATTGCTCTTGCCTATATAAGGAGGGCAAAATGGTTTCTGGGGTTCTATATAAGTTCACCCCTTTGAGCTAACTTTTTGAATAAATGATCATTTACATTTTTCAGTTGGAAAGTCATCTTTTTTGAAGATGAGGCCTACCCCTGTGCTTGAATTAGCATCTACAAAACGGTTACGAGCTGCTCCTCGTTCTAGTTCAACAAAGAGGAAGGTTCTAATGGATGACCCTATGGTCTTGCATGGCGAGTATGTTTACCTAACTGTTTTATCTCTTTTTATTGTATATGTTACCTATTATCTCATTACTCCATGTGCACCTGTCATAAAAGTTCTTGTTTAAGCTGCACGCTGCTTTACTCTTAGGCGCAAGAAGGCAGCTAAAGCCAACCAATAGTGAAATAGTGTGAATCTTGATTTTGTTGGGCCAAAAATATTTGGTTGCTGATTTTTTCTTCCCTGTTCTACAAAATTGAAGTTTGGTCGTCTTTTAAGTCTCACGCTTGTAATTACCTTGGGGCAATTTTTTTTCTTTACTTACGTTGTCTTGGATTTTAGTTGTTTTCTGATCTTGCTTACTTTTCTATTTAGCGTTATACGGCAACAGCTGACAAACACTGAAGGTATACGCCGTGTGCGAAAGAAGGCACCTTGCACCATTCCTGAAATCATAATGCTTCAAAGGCAGGCTTTGGAGGATGGACTCTTGAAGGAGCCAATATTCACTGGTAAGTTCACTACTCTAAAGACTAAACCAGTCTGTACAAGGTCTCTCAGTTGTTTTTTAAAATTGCAGCCACACAGGTAATATGTTTCAATGATTTTCAGGTATGTCAGTGGAATTAGTATCTCTACATAATGAGCCGTATGATTTAAGAGGAATCACGGTAATCAAGAATGATGACCGTCATGCTTCTGTTGGAGTGGTGGAAGACAATGAATGTTCTGTAAGGGCTGTGAAAGAAAACGAAACTGAAGAAACCTCTGCTCTTCTTGTTCGCCCAAATGATTCTGAGGAGCGACCTGCCGAGGCTCATACTGAACCACAGGACCAACCAATCCAAGACCAATCGGAAGAAGGAGAAGACAATAACGAGCTTGGTGAAAAATTAGGTGACTTAGAAGTTTTAAAGGAAGGTGAAGGAGCTGCTGAGGAAGTAAATCTTGTAGTGAATGACGAGATCAGTCAAATGCCATCTGAGGATAAACTCGATCGTGTAGAGGGTGTAGAGGATTTACAGGTGGAAGGATACCATGAAAACCATGATGGAGGGATAGGTGGTGAAGATGTTTGTGCTGATCTTAACGAAAAAAATATCAGTGATATTATCGAAATTGCTGAAGGAGATGTAGATAACAACGCCATTACCAATGAGACAGACTTGAAAGTTGAAGATGAACTTCCACATGAAGATAATAAGACGGATGGACCAGCTGAAGTTAGCGAGGTTGGGGTAGATGACCGGACTCCATGCGATAACACAATTGGTTCTATATGCGTAGAAGCTGGTGATTTTAGTAATCTGGCCTTGGAAAGTTGCAATCCACCTCTTGTGGAAGCAGATAATGGTGAGATGAATCCAGAGATAGAGTCGGATAATAAATACGAACCGAATAATGAGACATTTAATGAGGAGGCGTATATGCAAAGTGCACCAGATGAAGAACCTACTTCTCGTGATGGTCTTATGATAGATAACGATGTAAGTTTCTGATAGAATCTCATTTTTGTGGATTCGGGTTCTAACAGTTTCTTTTTGGCTTCATATCCTTATTCAAGTAAGACATGCCTCTGAATTCTTTTTTGTTGTTATCTTATGCTGTAGGGAATGGAAACCATGGAAGTGGCACATGACACAGGTTCTAAACCTTTTCGAAATTTAATTCAATTTATCCAAATGTTCTGTATCCTCTCAATTTTTTCCATGGGCATAATACTCTGGTCATAGGCTAATTGAAACTGGATTATGCAACCTTAAACCCTTGAGGATGATTTAGATATGTGAGATGCTGCTATTCCCATTATGTCTTTAGTGGTTCTGCTTATAAATGATTTCACTCTGTGTCTTCAGGATTTTTGAATGTGGATGATGATGATGTTGATGAAGATCATGAGGACGATGGTATGCAAGATGGTGATGAAACTCGTCTTCTAGAGAACAGTGGGTGGTCTTCTCGTACCAGGTCTGTACAGTTAATAATGTTTTCCACATTCCCTAAGCTAAACTTCCGCAGATTTAGTTATATCATGTGAGAGGTGCCTCAAAGATTGAAGACCTCAAAGATTGAAGATTCTTATTCTCTTTCCTTATAGGGCTGTGGCGAAGTATCTCCAGACGTTATTTGATAAAGAAGCTGAGAATGGGAAGAATGTTATTGTAGCAGACAAACTTTTAGCTGGGAAAACCCGTAAAGAAGCATCAAGAATGTTTTTCGAAACCCTGGTATGTCCGTAATACGATCCTAAACGAAAAAAAGCACTGGTCTTGCTCTAGAGAAAATAAACTTCTTAAGTAATAGATAAAAACACCTACTCCTACAACATCATGGATTTTAGCTTCAACTCCAGGCTAAGTTGTTGTGCTTTCTGTTTAAAGTTTACGGTTGTCCTACTGGAACGTTAGGATCTTTAGTGTAAGCATGTCTAAGTTAGGATCTTTAACTTGGCTTTGAAAAGACAGAAGAACAAGTCTGGTCTTCCCCTGTTTGGTCATTTTATTCATAAACTTGATCATCTTGTTGAATCTGTCTTCTTTCTTTGCCAATTTTACAGGTTTTGAAAACTAGAGATTACATCCAAGTTGAACAAGCTAAGCCTTATGAAAGCATCATTATAAAACCGCGACCAAAACTCACCAAATCCATCTTCTAGACAGAGAAAATGAGTCTTATAGTTGCAGATAGGTAGTTTGGTCCAACCCGAAAATATCCATCCGAAATGATTCTCCTTCTCTAAAGATATACAATTTCCCCCTTTTTAAGGCGTAATGTAGTAGTAATATAGTATCAATGGTGTTGTAGCTTAACCATCCAAGTAGCTGGAGGTTGGTCTTTGTCATTATTTTATCTTTATATATATGAGTTGTTGTATGTGTATATATATTGGTGCCACCATGATCATCACCAGTTTAAATTTGAGAGATGCTAATTTTATTTTCTTTGGATACCCAAACTTCTCCGGTATGTGATATTGAACTTGAGGATGCCTGAGGAACCATTTCTCGTTTTGAATAATAATTTTTTTTTATAGTTTTAAAATTCTATGTTTCTTGTTTAGTGGTAATTGACCATTGTTTTTCTTTTTCAGTGTAATATCGAAATTGTTTCCTCAAACTTGTTACTTCCCTATAATTATTGGTAAAAGTTTGAACATCAAAGCTTAAAATAGAGGAAATATATAGTTTATCATTTTTCTGCAAAATAAAGATCCATGGATCATCTTAGATTCTTAGTTTATAGGAGTATATATCTTTGATTGATTTGAAGTTTTTCAGTTTGGGCCATTTTCAACTAATGGATCTTTTTATTGCGTTTTCAATCGCCATCTTCACTCTGCAGATATAACTATGCGCCTTCTTGCAAGCTGGTAAATATATATTTTTTTTTTGGATAAGTAAACATTTTTGAAAACACATTGCTAGTTGAAACTTAAAAACTCAATTGAAATTTTATTATATACATGATTTTTCTTTTTGATAATTCGGCGTCCAACGTCATTTTAATCCCAATGATTCAAACCCCAATTCTTCTGCATTTCCAATTTCTCAAATATTCCTCTCAAGAATCAGACATAATCTAATCTAAATAAACGAAATAGAACTAACTTATATATGGTTCAGGTAAATAAAATTAAAGTTAAAAAAGGTATAAACACTTATAATGGCCAAGAGTAGTGTATGTAATCTTTTATTCCACGGCACAAACAAATAAGATTCATTTTTTTCCCCCTTTTTGGCGTAGTATAAAAATTCATCTTTCTCCTACTAAAACCATTTCTTGACAACAAGGTGGATACAATCAAAATTGAAAACTCAGACGTAAACCATCAAAATGAATACACAGAGGACAACGAAACACCATAACATAAGATATTCTCATGCTTTCTAAAGCTATAAAGCTCTCACTCAGACTGAAGAACAGTAATGTAATAAGGATAGCCTTGGCATGTCCCTGACGATGATGCCTTTTCATGCTCAGAAAGCTCCCAGTTGAGTTTATACGAAGCGAGATTGTAGATACCTGGAGAGAAAACTGATATCTGCAGCGGGAAATCGGTAGTGGACAATGGCTGGATTTGGACCTTTGTGGAACTTAAACCTGACCATATGAAAGGAGGTGAGCTTTCCATGGAGGATGGAGGTTTTCCCAGACGGCTTCCCATGACATCTGAAGTTAATTTCATTTCCTCTGTTACACTTGGCACGTAGCGCCACCCGGATTGATTCACCGTAGGAGGAGTTGGTCCTGCTGCGTCTGGTAGAGAATCAATGGTGATAATGCTCACAGAAGCTAATCCATCAGACGTGTTTCTGATTATCATCTTTAGTTTTATTTCACACAAGGAGCTCGAAAAGTTGTGGTATATGGTTTGGGGACCGTCTAGTGTCCACGAGAGCGGGCTTGAGCTTCTGATACTGTAATCGAATAACAAATGTGATTAGAAGCAACGAAAATTAGGTTTGATAGCTATAGGAATATACTTTTATGAATACTCTTTACCTATTGTGACATGAATGGTGAGACAGAAAAATTGATGAATCGGGCACTGCTGATGGATTGCTGCTATTTGCCAGGCGAGAGATTAGAATGAAGTCAACTGTATTCGGATTTACCTGTTTCATAAATGCAAATATGAGCTCGCTATAGTTCTGATGATAGAACGTTACCAGCAGTTAAGTTTTGTTCAAGAGAAAGTAAAAAAAAAAAAAAAAAATTCTAGCACATAAGATTTATGTCCATGAACGAGGATTTTCACTTACCTGATCCGAGGCTCCCTGACAAGACCTTTCGCTTTCATGGAAGCTTGCTAAAGGTGAGTTAACGATATCAAAAAGCTTCTCATTGTCATCCTGAGTAAACAATTTTACGTCGGTTTGGCTGGCAGGAAGGGACATGGTTTTCTCTTCTTCAGTCCCGGATTTTTTGCAATCCTGAAATTCGAACAATAACTTATTTAAAGACTTGGAAAAGAGAAAGACCAGCTAGCTAATAGAAGTGCATTAACGAAACTTTCTAAGTTCCAATGACCTTTATCATGAAGAAACAAGATAAAGCTTGCCCAGCGAGTAGAGACTTGGAAGGTAAGATTGTATCAACTGGCTGAAGCAATGAGATACCCCACCGGCACCCAACTGTTGACAGCTGCTGAATTTGGAAACAATCTGAATTTCGCACGGTTCATGATATCCATACGCACAAGAAAATTCTTGCAATCTTGATGGAGAGGGGGTGATTTCGAACGAGGTCTCTAGAGATGGTAAAACCTAGATGACACAATGTATGATATAGAAATGGTTTTAGACTTGTTGGCCAATGCAAATCTGCCTATAACATAGTAAACAACTTAAAACAAAAAAAAAAATTGCTACCTAAAGATCACCTTTAAATTATACTGCATCCTTAGGGTGCGGTATTTCATGATGCTTGATACATTTTCCATCTCATAGTATATTGTGAAATACAAAGACATCGTTCCTGGGATGGCAGCTCGAAGCCAGAGAGGCCACCTCAGAGATCTGTCTCCTTGCAGTGATACACCCTGAAAGAGATCAGAACCATGTAAAAATAACCTGACATAAACAAACCCCCTTTGAGGCTTGAAGAAAAGGTTTGCCACGGACCTTTGGAAATGCAAATACACTACTTGTTCTATTTGTTTCATGCTGAACAATTTTCTGTTCATGCCCCTTCATTAAGCAATCTGGAAATTCAGTTGGCAGCTCTTCTTCTTGATTTCCAAGATTTACAAATCTTGGATGGCTAATTTTCATTTTAAGATTCTACAAGGACAGACAGACTTTGTTAGCACAAGAATAATCAAGAAAATAATCTAGTGCACAAGATGAATTGGTCATCAAGGAAGAATAAATAGGATAACTCAGACCATAACAAACTAAATTCATAGACAAGCAACAGCCACACAATATCAGAACAACATAAACTAATTGGCTAAACAGTAGAATATATAAATGTTAAGGGTTGATCAGAACAAGAAAACTACCTTTATTGGGGATTCTGACTTATTTGTTAACTCTAAAACAAGATAACGTAGATCTCCAGCATACAATTTCTCAGGCAGATGATCAATTGAACCCTCAAGCCTGGGTAAACTCTGCACAGTCAACATTTCTTTACTTACGAAGTCGCAACGAATCTTACCAAAATTAAAGCATAGAGGAAAAATTTGCACCTTGATGACCAAAAATTTCAAGGCATCAGTGGGAGTAAGTTTGTTTTTCCTTCTTCCTTTGTTAGTTTTTGCTTTTACAAGCACAGATTGGAAGTAATGCACACCTACAATGGAGTCAGACAACTCCCACCTTACACCGACAATTTTAAGGATACCTTCTTCACTGGGGGTAACCTCGAGTCTTACCTAGAAGACAAAATTCAAAAGAATAAGTCAGACGTAACAAACATTTCGCAGCTACGTAAACCCTCAGAACTTCACCAAGGAGATACAGAAGCAAAAGGAAGATATAATAGTCAAAAGTTACAAAGGACCAAGGCAATTTAACATTATGTCTACCATTGAGGTTAGTTGCAATGAACAACAAACTACAGGTGAAACATCACGACTTTAAAAACATGGCTCTCTATATATACACATGAAGAAGAAAAATGTAAGGTAGAGGACGGATTTAAATATTAAAACATATCAATGAATCTATGTATCCATTTCAGGAGTCTCACCAATTTTTTCTCGCCTCCGCCTAATGTGAAGTCCACTTCAGACAAAGTGAAAGAATAGAAACCAGAGGCTGTACCCCTGTAGTATTGTTGACAAAGACGCACATATTAATCATTCAAATCTAGGTCAACAAAGTATAAAGAAAACTGATTGACAGATTAGCTACTTACTGATTATGGTCTGAGGAACTCTCGGGCCCCAAGCTTAAGCTACTTGGCTCTTTATCTACTTTACAAAGTCCAAATATGGAAATAAATTTCACATATACAAAATGAAGGATGTTGAAGTTTTATAAAGTGAACATAAATAACAGAAACAGTTTTACCTAATTTTAGGTCATCAGTATTTGCGGTAAGTTCACAGATGAGAGAAACGCTTGTTATGGAAGTAGAGATTAGCAATGGATTCCTAAACTCCAGATCCACTTTCACCGACTCTGAAAACAAAGAAAACAAAGAAGTACAAGTAAGAATCCACAAGTACAAAAAAAAAATTCAAACATGCTACAGCAGAATTTCATGTCTTCAACAATATGGCCTGAATGTACTGCCAAACGAAGAAATCCCCCTTCCTTGGCATAAGCACACTAAAAACATTTACAGATACTATGATATCACAAAATGAAGAAATCTAATACTCCCTCTCTCTCTCTCTACCAAAAATCCGTGCAAAAGTATTACAGCTAGTCATTTCAAAAAAAAAAAATTATAGTCAAATCAAGTCTATAGATACAATTGAAATGTCATGCTGCTGGTAGCCTGGTACCATAAAGCAAAACAGATTTTGCGTATTAGTGCGCCTATTTTAGCTTGGACTAGATTGCATTCTTTTACCCTTCAGACTTTAGGCATAAGCTAAATGCAGAGGAAAAAGCGTACGAATCAGGTTAACAGCAAATGCAGCTAACAACAACCTGCATACCTCCAGCGACACAAACATTTGATTCCCTGTATTTCTTTGGCAGAAGCTTTGACTGTAACTCCAGCCAGTTTGACTTGCCAGAATTTAATGATGGAATGATATCATCCTCCAGTGACTGCCAGATGCTTTCGTCTACAAGGGCCTGACCATGACATGTGAATCATATTGGTACACAAGAGATGCAAGTTCTTCACCATTAATGAAAAAAGAAACAATTCCATGATGCACAAAGATTATTTATTTGCAAATAATCCATAAATTTAACCAGAATACTGAGTGTCAGTTATGCTGTTCATAATGGATTATAAACGCTATACATCCTAGGATGAATATGATGCGTAGCGATATGTACATACTTTCACAGAGTGAATATGCAACTTACA